CCGCCCCCCGCGGCGTTGGGGGCGGGGTTTGTTGGTCCGGGGGGCGGGGCTGGAGGGGGCGTGGCCCCAGCGGGGGGCGGGGCCTGGCAGGGCGGGGCCGGCGGCGTTAGGTGCTGAAATAGACTGGAGAAGGAAATTTGCATAAAATTAGCATGCAGTCCCCACCCCCTCATTTGCATGCGACCGAAGCACATGCCCCACCCCTTCATTTGCATGCAGCTTTATTGACACCCCCTCATTTGCATAGCCAGGGCTCCACCCACTCCCCCTCTCATTTGTATGCGAGAGGGTGTGGCAGCCCAATTTGCATATGATTTGCATTTTGGTTTTGCATTGCCCCGCCCCCTCCTGCACTCTGTCCCACCCTTCATCTGCATACCCGACCCTCATTTGCATTCCTCCCGCCAATTTGCATACCCCGTCTTCCTCATTAGCACATCCCGTTAATTTGCATAACCCGCGATTTATGCCCCGCCCCTCTTCGCGTCTGCAATGCTAATTTGCATATGGAAACTATTAATTTGCATGCAAAAGCATCCCCTTATTTGCATACCCGGCGTTCTCATTCACGCAACCCAACTTCATCTGCATAACCCAATCACCTCATTTGCATAACCCCACCCACATTTGCATAATTAACTGCACGCTCGTCTCCCACACTGCTTCATTTGCATAACCTCACCCACATTTGCATAATTAACCGCACGCTCGTCACCCACCCCGCCTCATTTGCATGCACCGCCTGCTCATTTGCATGCCACCCCCTGCCCCTTCGGCACCGCCCTTTTTTCCCCCCCCTCTGGATTTGCATATCCGCTCTCTAATTTGCATATCGGGGCTCATTTGCATAACAAATCACTCACCGATGATGATGATGAGGACGATGGCGCAGATGACCCCCAGGATGATCATCATCTGTGGGGCGGAGACCGGCGGCGTTTTGGGGAGAATTCCGGGGATTTTGGGGTTTTCTTCCCGATTTTGGGGTTTTCCCGGGAAATTTGGGGAATTTGGGGGGATTTTGGTGGATTTGGGGGGGATTTGGGGGATTTTGGGGGGAATTCCAGGGATTTTGGGGTTTTCTTCCCAATTTTGGGGTTTTCCCGGGAAATTTGGGGAATTTGGGGGGATTTTGGTGGATTTGGGGGGGATTTGGGGGATTTTGGGGGGAATTCCAGGGATTTTGGGGTTTTCTTCCCAATTTTGGGGTTTTCCCGGGAAATTTGGGGAATTTGGGGGGATTTTGGTGGATTTGGGGGGGATTTGGGGGATTTTGGGGGGAATTCCAGGGATTTTGGGGTTTTCTTCCCAATTTTGGGGTTTTCCCGGGAAATTTGGGGAATTTGGGGGGATTTTGGTGGATTTGGGGGGGATTTGGGGGATTTTGGGGGGAATTCCAGGGATTTTGGGGTTTTCTTCCCAATTTTGGGGTTTTCCCGGGAAATTTGGGGAATTTGGGGGGATTTTGGTGGATTTGGGGGGGATTTGGGGGATTTTGGGGGGAATTCCAGGGATTTTGGGGTTTTCTTCCCAATTTTGGGGTTTTCCCGGGAAATTTGGGGAATTTGGGGGGATTTTGGTGGATTTGGGGGGGATTTGGGGGATTTTGGGGGGAATTCCAGGGATTTTGGGGTTTTCTTCCCAATTTTGGGGTTTTCCCGGGAAATTTGGGGAATTTGGGGGGATTTTGGTGGATTTGGGGGGGATTTGGGGGATTTTGGGGGGAATTCCAGGGATTTTGGGGTTTTCTTCCCAATTTTGGGGTTTTCCCGGGAAATTTGGGGAATTTGGGGGGATTTTGGTGGATTTGGGGGGGATTTGGGGGATTTTGGGGGGAATTCCAGGGATTTTGGGGTTTTCTTCCCAATTTTGGGGTTTTCCCGGGAAATTTGGGGAATTTGGGGGGATTTTGGTGGATTTGGGGGGGATTTGGGGGATTTTGGGGGGAATTCCAGGGATTTTGGGGTTTTCTTCCCAATTTTGGGGTTTTCCCGGGAAATTTGGGGAATTTGGGGGGATTTTGGTGGATTTGGGGGGGATTTGGGGGATTTTGGGGGGAATTCCAGGGATTTTGGGGTTTTCTTCCCAATTTTGGGGTTTTCCCGGGAAATTTGGGGAATTTGGGGGGATTTTGGTGGATTTGGGGGGGATTTGGTGGATTTGGGGGGATTCAGGGCATTTTGGGTGGAATTCGGGGGATTTTGGGGTTTTCTTCCCAATTTTGGGGTTTTCCCGGGAAATTTGGGGAATTTGGGGGATTTTGGGGTTTTTGGGCATTTTGTTCCTAATTTTTCGATTTTCCCAGGGAATTTGGGGGATTTTGAAGGGATTTGAGGGATTTGGGGAAATTTTGGGGGAATTTGGGGTCTTGTTGCTGATTTTTGGGTTTTTCCATTGAAATTGGGGGATTTTGGAGGGATTTAGGGGGATTTGGGGGGTTTTGTGTCAGATTTTTGTGTTTTCCTGGGGAATTTGGGGGGGATTTTGGTGGATTTTGGGGAATTCGGGGTTTTGTTGCTGATTTTTGGGTTTTCCTGGGGAATTTGGGGGATTTTGGGGGGATTTTGGGGCTATTTTGGGCTATTTTTGAGTGGTTTTGGTCATTCTGGGACATTTTGGGGCCATTCCAGCCCATTTTGGGGCAATTCTGGGCTATTTTGGAGCCATTCTGGGGCATTTTGGGGCAATTCCAGCCCATTTTGGAGCCATTCTGGGCCATTTTGGGGCCATTCTGGGCTATTTTGGGGCCATTCTGGGCTATTTTGAGCCAATTCCAGCCCATTTTGGGGCCATTCTGGGCTATTTTGAGCCAATTCCAGCCCATTTTGGGGCAATTCCAGCCCATTTTGGGGCCATTCCAGCCCATTTTGGGTCCGTTTGTACCTTGAGGTTCTTCCACCAGTACTTGCGCTTGAGCTTGGGACCATTTGGGGGCTGTTTTGGGGCTATTTTGGGTTATTTTGGGGCAATTCCAGCCCATTTTGGGGCAATTCCAGCCCATTTTGGGGCCATTCCAGCCCATTTTGGGTCCGTTTGTACCTTGAGGTTCTTCCACCAGTACTTGCGCTTGAGCTTGGGACCATTTGGGGGCTGTTTTGGGGCTATTTTGGGTTATTTTGGGGCAATTCCAGCCCATTTTGGGGCAATTCCAGCCCATTTTGGGGCCATTCCAGCCCATTTTGGGGCCGTTTGTACCTTGAGGTTCTTCCACCAGTACTTGCGCTTGAGCTTGGGACCATTTGGGGGCTGTTTTGGGGCTATTTTGG